GCAAAAGGATTTAAAATAACGTGCCAAAAATAATTTCATAGTGCAGTGGAGCTTCCACTGCTTTCCTTATTTTTCCAAGTGTTTTGAGCCTTTGAGTCGGAAGCAAGGAGGGAGGACTAATTGCTTTGAGCTTCCTCCTTAAATTGCTGTTTGCTATGCTGGGGACTTTATCAATTTTAATCTCCCATATGTTATGCCATTAGTACATTTCAATGCTCTTTTCAAACTTTTTGAAGAGCTAATAAGATATAATCTCATCTACTTGTTATTTAAAATTAATGAGCATCCTGATTTCATCTTAATGCATTCGTATATATTTTTTATCTTTAATGCATTAATGTATACCAAACTATCTTTGGATATGTTTCACATAAACTGTCAAAGGGTTAATAAACAAAAAAATTTGTTAACTACAAATTTAGAATTAGAATTACATTACGTCTTCTTCTGTATTTTACCTGTTCGGTGTGCTATGCCCCTTACTATTTGAGTTGTGTCACTAACCAGAGTCTGAGAGTAGATGCCAGCCAGCTTGCACCCTGGCATGGAATCCACACTGTTGTGTATTGTGGAGATTCCTGCATTGCAGGGGTTTAGACTAGTTGACCCTTGGGGCACCTTCCAACTCTGCGAACTCAGCTATACTGCTGCAAATAAAACATTTCGAATGTGTTGTAAGGTGCAATATACAGTTGTGACACTAGATGGTGACTGTGAGCTATAGTAAATTCAATGTATTTTTCAAAATAATAATGATGATGATGATGATGATGATGATGATGATTTTCACGTCTTTAACATGTGTGTAGATTCCACCTACAATTCTATGATTCTATGAGGCCCCATCAGCTACAGGTTGGGCTAAATTAACAAACTGTCAGGAGTGCATGCAGGAGCTGGGCCCTGTGACCAGTAGGGTTTCGCAGGACTGGGGCCTTCCTAAGTTTGTTCTGGAGAGGCAAGGCGTGGCCGCACAGGTGAGGCCACTTGGTAACTCACTGCACCTGGTGGCTAGAGCCGGGAAGGGATATAAGGTCAGCATTTCCCTTCAGCTCTTTGCCACAGCATCAAGTTTCCTGCATTGTTGTGTTTGGCTTCTTGACTCCTTGTTTCTCGACCCTTGGACCCTTGACTTCGTGACTCCTTGCTTCTCGACTCTCAGACCCCTGGCTTCTGGACTCTCGTTCCTGCTCCCAACCCGCCATCTTGCCCCCGGTCCCAACGTCCTCAGCCGGGACTTCGATCACCCGTAGACCAGACAGTGATACAAACTTGATGAAGGATAGGGATAGAAGATTGTGCCCACAGAAAGATAGGGCTAGAAGATTGACCAACTCTAGAACTGTCGATAGAGGGATATTTACATCACTGACTCTCAGTCAACTGGGATCATTCTTCTGCTCCGGGTGAGGATTTCACAGGAAAGACCCATGTGATTGGTCACCTGACATACTTCCCAGTGACACAGGGAAGTGGCTTCATGCCACTCTGTCACATATATATATAAATATGTCCTCAACATATTTGCCACTTTCCTAGTATAGCTTTGAGCTGCATTTGAATGACGAAACTACTGAGCAAAGTTGACCAAGAGGGCACCAGTTATGTGGAATGATTCACACAATAGGCAACAGCTATGCAGGGCTGCATTATAAGAAAGCAGTTTACTTGCAACTGCAGCTATAGGCAAAATAGAATTCAGGTGTTTACCAGAAATAAGAGTCAAGACCCTGAATTCTGTGTTGCAGGCACAGCACATCTGTTATGTTAGTTCTTCTGCTCTAGAACTACAACTCCTGTTTGACAGGTGCTATTTTGGCTCCAGTCTCACTTAGCTTGCAAAATCAGTGCAACCTTGGTAGACCTAGTAGCCTAAATGTATTGACCACAAAAGACACAAAGTGCAACCTGCTTTGACTAAAATACAATATCTTATTACTAAAGCACTGATGGAGAAAGACCACGCAGTAATAATCAGTGGTCCTGGTTCAGAATGGCTATACCACCAGCAGGGTGGGAAATATCCATGGAAAAGGCAAGTCACCTTTTCCCAAGGAACCTCATCCACACAACAGTGAAAAACCTGCCGTGTGAACAGCACAACCTGTGCTAGTAACTGTATTCATCCCTACTCTATCATCAGCCTGGTTGGTGAACTAGGAGCCATTATGGACTTCAGGCAATAGATGTACTTACTGACCACATCCCCCCTCAATGAAAAACTCAATTTGTTGTGGTGCAATGATCTGTCTTTATAAATAAATAGTTGACTCAGTAGGTTGGAAGCAGCAGGAAAAGTGTGGCCCACGTTGCAAAACAGATTCCTGCATTCCTGGCCATGCAACTTTGACAAGAGATACTTGCAAAGGATGTTTGCAGCAGATGTAAGCCACAAGGAGAGGGGGGCGGGCAGGACATGCTAGTGACGTATTCTTCTTAATTTATTTATATACTACCCTTCCCTCTCACAGAGCATAGACCATAGGCAGATCAATTTGCTTGAGACTTGAAAAATGTTGTAGTAACTGAACTATCATTAAAAGATGTTCTGGGAGCTGAGCCCAGAAGACATGGAAGTTCTTGTTCATTCATTTTTGTGTTAAAGAAAAGATTTGAATTATTGTTACTATCATTTAAGTAAAATAAATCCTTAAATTAGCTTGAGTGAACATGTCAGCTTTGGTGAGTCAGGAACCATAAGATAGGTCAATGGTGAAAGCTAATGAGAAATCCAGGACCAGAAGGCAGAACTGGGAATTAAGCCACATGTCAAGATCAAAGAGCAAGGCCAGAAACACAAGACATGCTAAAGCTCATGTGTCAGGGAACTGCCATCGGAAGGAAGGGAGGTGAAAGGGCTCACACAGGTTGGGAGAGACTCAGCAGCTGAAGAGGGAACCAGTAGGGGGAGAGGAGCTGAGCTGAGGGAAAGTGAGCTGGAGGGATGGCTCAGAGACACTTCCAGCGAAAACAGTGGGGAGGTTTCAGGACCTCCTGTAGGGACACCCACTCCTCGCCGGAAACTGACACGCAGAGAGTCCAGAAGACGTGTTTCCGTTAAGGAGCTTTTATGTTGGAAGCGATTCCAAAGCAACCACTGTCGGAATCTGCTAGTGACTAGAGGAGCCATGTCTGAGGGGCTCCGTCACAGACAGAGGTTTGTGGACTTGAACAAACTCTGAGGGGATACGATTTTACGCACAAGCAGCTCATCATCCCATCACAGCATTCCGACAGTCTTTGAAAGCAGCTTGTGCAGGAGAAGGCATCATGAGCAACCCAGCCGGAACCGGAGAAGCAGGAGCTGGAGCGGGTCCAAGCCTGGAAGAAAGGTACCGGGTGTTGGAGGTCCAGCTAGCGCTGCAGACGGCGAGGCTTGAGGAGAGGAGGGCTCAGGATGCAGACAAAAAAGGGGAAAGCCACCCAGCTCGCTAGAAAGGTACCAGGATTGGTGCAGAAGTTTGGGGGGGAGCCCAAAGACTATCATGGCTTTCGGACAGAGATGCAATATGCCCTCAATCTGCAGTTTGATGAATTCCCTGACGAGGAATCACGAGTGGCTTTCGTGATTGAGCATCTTGAAAAGGGGCGAGAGACTGGGTTAGACCCCTGATGGCAGCGAATAGTGACGTCCTAAAGGACACGATGAAGTTCTTTCGCGCCATGGATCTGATGTTTTCCAGCGATATTGAACAGGGAGTGGTGCGCAGACAGTTAATGGCTTGCAAACAGGGGAGCCGATCTGTCCGTGAGTACTGGACTGAGTTCACCATGCTGGTTCACAGATTGGGGTGGGACTTATCGGCGGAACCCATTCAAATGCTCTTTGAAGAAGGGCTTTCTTCGGCTGTGAAAGACGAACTTTCCCGGGCGCCCAGGGCGGAGTCTATGGACCAGCTGACCAAATCAGCGCTGACCATAGGAGCGCGCCAGGAGGCGAGAGCATTGGAGAGGCGGGAAGGGAAAGGGGAACGTTGGAAGGAGTTCCGCATTCCAGACATTCCAGAGCCAACTTTCCCGCCGGCAGAGCCGATGGAAATCGGAACAGCGCGCGCGCGCAGTTTCAAAGCCCAGTGAGGGGGAAAGAAGGAGGGAAAAGGCGCCCGGAAATGCTATCTCTGCCAACAGCCAGGTCACTTTGCCAGAGTCTGCCCCCAGAGGAAGGAATGGCAAGGGATGGTAGGAGCTGTGGAGGGAAGAGAGGAAGAAATACCGGAGCAAGTAAAGCCAACGCCTGGCTGCCACTGTCGGGGCACAGCAGCCAGGCCAAAGAGCAGTGAGAGTGCCCACGCCAGAACCTCCTAAACCCGCCCTAGTGATAGAAGTGGCGCTAGAGCTGCCAAACGGACACCCTCTAAAGATAAAGGCGCTGTTGGACTCAGGCAGCTCCTGCAATTTCATGAGCAAAGAGTTTGCAGCTGAACACCAGATACAGACGATCCCTTTAAGCAACCCCCTGCAGGTGACCACGATCGATGGCAGGGAGCTGTTGGGAGGAGAAGTCAGCTTGCAGACCGTCCCAATGATAATGAAGGTAGCAAGGCACACCGAACTGATAGCGTTTAATGTGGCCACCTTGGGAGGGGGATGAGCTGGCTAGCGTTACATGATCCGCTGGTGGGCTGGCATCAGAGAGTGGTTTCTTTTGGTTCAGCACATTGCTTAGAACACTGCAAAGAGGGAAAGGGTTTGGCAGGGGCCCAAGCCACCCTAGCAGGGACTGAAGTAACGGAGAACGTGAAGGTACCACGACAATATGCAGATCTCCGCGACGTCTTCAGCGAAAGGGAAGCTGACCAACTACCCCCGCATAGACCCTTTGACTGTCAAATCAATTTACTCCCTGGGGCACAGCTCCCTGTAGGCAAGCTGTACGCCATGTCAGACAGAGAGATGCAGGAGCTAAGAGAGTTCATTGACAAGAACCTGAAGAGAGGGTTCATCAGAGAGTCCAGGGCGGTGGGGGCAGCCCAGTGTTTTTGTGGATAAAAAACACGAACAAGCCGAGGCTGGTGTGTGACTTCAGGGCCTTAAATGCAGTGTCAGAACCAGTGGCCTTCCCTATGCCCAGGATTGACGACATTTTGACAAGGGTGCGGAAGGGAAAGATTTTCACAAAGCTGGACCTAAGGGGGGCGTACAACCTGATACGAATAAGGAAGGGTGATGAATGGAAAACCACCATGTTCACCCCTTTAGGGGCATTTGAATATTTGGTTATGCCCTTCGGCCTCCAAGCAGGCTCCGCATGCTTTCAATCGTTTATGAACCACGTCCTGGGGCCTTTGCTTTACAAGAATTGTGTGGCCTTCTTAGACGACGTGTTGGTGTATTCTGAGAATGAGGAGCAGCATGTGAGAGACGTCAGAGAAGTGTTGAGCAGGCTGCAAGCCAACCAGCTGTGGGTGAAACTGGAGAAGTGTCAGTTTCATACCAAGGAGGTGGAATTCCTGGGGTATCGCCTGTCAGACAAGGGATTGGCCATGGATCCCGGCAAGGTCCAGGCGGTGCTGGAATGGAAAACACCCAAAACAAGGAAGGATGTGCAGAGGTTCCTAGGATTTGGGAACTTCTATCGTAAGTTCATCCGAAACTTTGCCCACCTGACGGCGCCCATTACGGACTGTCTCAGCAGTAAGAAGAAGTTTGTTTGGACTGAGGAGGCGGAGCGAGCATTTGAGGAACTAAAAAGGGCCTTCGCCTCGGAACAACAACTCCTGCATGTGGATTTACAAAAACCGATGAGAGTGGAAACTGACGCATCAGACAGAGCGATTGGGGCGGTGCTTCTGCAGCCAGGGAAGGAGGAGTCAGAGTGGAGACCGTGTGCCTTTTTTTCGCGAAAGCTGAACAAATCCGAGAGGAACTACACGGTGTATGACCGAGAACTACTAGCCATTCATGAGGCGTTCCGGAGATGGAGGCACCTGCTAATTGGCGCACAACATAAGGTGCAAGTGTGCACTGACCACAAGAACCTAGAGTATTGGAGGACGGCACGAGTGCTCAACCAACGGCAAGTGAGATGGGCCCAGGAGTTCTCCAAATTTAACTTTGAGATTTGTTACGTGCCAGGCCCAGAGAACATTAGGGCGGACGCTCTCTCACGCAAACCTGAATATTTGGAAGGGGAGGGAGCACCCGAAGAGAGACATGTCATTCCAGAGGACCGCTGGGTGTGTGGGGCGGCATTGGTGGGACAAAGAGAACTGGTAGAGGAAACAGAGAATGATGAATACGCCCAGAATAAGCTCAGAGGTCTTAGGGGTGAGGGAGAGGAACCAGGGGGTTTCGAGGAAAGAAATGGAGCTTTGTATTACAAAGGGGCACTGTATATCCCTGAAGGAGACTTAAGGGGGGAGGGTACTCAAGCAGTTGCACGACAACCCTACGGCGGGGCATTTTGGACAACACAAAACCATGTGGTTGGTCACCAGGGAATTTTGGTGGCCCAAGGTGAGGGAAGATGTACGTGAGTATGTAAGAGGGTGCGAGCAATGCCAGCGAGCCAAAGGGGAAAGGCGGGCACCGGCGGGGCTATTAGAACCCTTACCAACCCCAGAACGACCTTGGGAGGCAGTGTCGATAGATTTTATGACTGATCTGCCGAAGTCCAAAGGGAAAACAGCCATCATGGTGGTGGTGGACCTACTAACAAAGATGTGCCACTTTGTAGCTTGCTCGCATGCAGTCACGGCGGAAGAGACAGCGAAGTTATTTGTAGAACACATTTTTAGGTTGCACGGGGTGCCATCGAGGGTGGTCTCAGACCGAGGAAAACAATTTACTTCCAGGTTCTGGAGGAAGCTCATGAGCTTACTGCAGGTGGAGGTCAATTTTTCGACTGCCCGGCACCCTGAAACCAACGGGCAGGCGGAAAGAGCAAACGGTGTCCTCCAGCAATACCTGAGGTGTTATGTCAATGACAGAGAGAATGACTGGGTAGAAAAGTTGGCGCTGGCGGAATTTGCCTACAACAATGCCGAGAATGTGTCCACAGGGATGAGCCCCTTCTTGGCTAATTATGGGTGTCATCCCAGGGCTTTCCCAGGGGAGATGGGGAGAGATGGAGCGTCCCGGCAGCCGAGCATTTTGTAGAAGAAATGGAAGCAATCCATTGTCAGCTCCAACTCAACTTAGAAAGGGCGAAGGAAGAATACAAGAGGCAAGCAGACAAGAACCGAAGGGAAGGTGAAACCATAAGGGTGGGAGATAGGGTGTGGCTGTCAACCCAAGGGTTGCCGTTCAAAGGAGGTTGTAAGAAATTAAGACCCAGGAGGTTGGGTCCCTTTGAGGTCATTCAACAGGTCAACCCAGTGGCTTTCAGGCTCCGGTTACCCAACCACATGAAACTGCACCCAGTATTTCACAGGTCGTTACTGTCACCGTACGAAGGGGGACGAGAAGGGATGGCCACTCGGGGACCGGTCATAGAAGAAAGAGAATGCAGCAGCCATGTGGCAGAAATCCTCGACGCCAGGTGGAAGGGGAATCAGGTGGAGTATTTGGTAGCGTGGGAAGGAGAACCGGAGTCAGAAAACACTTGGGTAATGGCCGAAGATATCAATGACGAGGTATTGATAGAAACGTTCCATCAAAGGTTCCCAAGGAAACCTCAGCCTGTGGAGAGGTTCCGGAGGGAATACTTTGGGACCACTGATGAGGAGGAGGAGTTGGAAGGCTTCCCGGACTCGGAAGGGGAAGGGGAGATGGACTCTGAGGAGGAGGAGTACTTCGAGACCAGGAACCGCAACAGGTGGAGAGAAGTGTTCGAGACATCGGAAGATGAAGGAAGTTCATTCCGGGTTTTGCCTCCTCACCGCCCGTAGAGGAGGGGGCGAGAGGGGGTGAAGGGGGCCCTGGAGGGGAGGTGGATGTCAGGGAACTGCCATCGGAAGGAAGGGAGGTGAAAGGGCTCACACAGGTTGGGAGAGACTCAGCAGCTGAAGAGGGAACCAGTAGGGGGAGAGGAGCTGAGCTGAGGGAAAGTGAGCTGGAGGGATGGCTCAGAGACACTTCCAGCGAAAACAGTGGGGAGGTTTCAGGACCTCCTGTAGGGACACCCACTCCTCGCCGGAAACTGACACGCAGAGAGTCCAGAAGACGTGTTTCCGTTAAGGAGCTTTTATGTTGGAAGCGATTCCGAAAGCAACCACTGTCGGAATCTGCTAGTGACTAGAGGAGCCATGTCTGAGGGGCTCCGTCACAGACAGAGGTTTGTGGACTTGAACAAACTCTGAGGGGATACGATTTTACGCACAAGCAGCTCATCATCCCATCACATCATGTATACTTTTTTTGCTCAAGAAAAGCAGCACTGAGACAGGGAGCCTTCTTTTACTCCTTTCTGCCCAGGAGGAGCCAATGGCCAGCTTGGACAGAGCTAGTCCAGAAGATTATTATCTGAGAAGCTGTAGTAACACTACAGGGGCAGAAGCTACAGAGATGTAGCTCACCACAAGAGTTGTGCAATTCCTGAGAACACCGCAGAAAAACAGGTCAATGGAATGCTTCAAAAAGCATGAGTTCTATAGGAAGTAAATATTTCCTACCTGGAGAGTGCTCCTGAGAATTAAGAAAGACAGCTTAGCATCTGAATGTTACAAATGACTGTGTTTATTGACAAAACCACATTTCCCCCAAAATGACTTTCACAGGCCAGCTATACATTAACAAGACCCTGATCACAGTGACGGTCTTCAGGTGCTGGTCCACATATTGTGCCCTAATATTGGAGGCAAGCGTTATTAAGAACATCCTTTACTGGAAAAGGAGTGTATGTGTTATGAAATACATCTATCATCATGGATGAAAAAGGTCTTACGAATTCACTGGGTATTCTATCACAGGATCAGACAATTCCCAAGCAGGCTAAATGTCAGAAGAAATGTGAAGTTGTTCCAGTCAGAAGCTATTAGCTTCTTCCTTGTGGACAGCTCCATTTTACACGTCAGATATAGCAATTTCCTGGTAGTTGTATGGTCTATGTCTTTGTTAGAGGAGAAGGGACTGTGATGACAGTCCAGAGAATTGGGGTTTGTGGAGGTCAAGAGTCCAGAAATTCATTTCAATGTCCCAAGGGGAACTGTTTAACTTGCTACCTGACAGCTCAAGATGTGGGGAAAACGCCAAGGCACTGTCAATGGTATGGTGTGCTTAACACTGAAGACATCTCTTAGTATAAAATGAGTATTTGCATATCAGAAATCAGCATTCTTCTCATGCGATCAGTGACTAGGGCTACAACACTCCATAAACAATCATTTACAAAGAAACAGGCTATTTCCCTTGATGTAAAAATATGTAAATCAGCCAATGATGAAAATGTATAAGATGTATGTGCCTAAATATAGGGCTAATCAAGTTGAGTACCGAGCTCTGCTGATCAGCTCAATTTTTGTGTTGGCTGAGATACCAAGTGAAGCATCAGGAAAGAAGCATTGACTCAAATACAAAATTCCAGTAAATGAATCATATATTGTTCTGATGCAAACCAGAGTGGAGGAGGATTTTCCCTGCCTTTTAAGGATGGAAGGGGTTTGTAAACTCATTAGAAATGATAAAAAGTGTTCCTGTTCAGGAACACCTTCTTTCTGTTTTGGGGCTATGGAGTTACAGAAACATTTAGAAACTTGGGGAGACCTCATCTCTATATATTTGGCCCATTTCTGACCATATACAGTGGTACCTTGGGTTACATACGCTTCAGGTTACATACGCTTCAGGTTACAGACTCCGCTAACTCAGAAATACTGCTTCAGGTTAAGAACTTTGCTTCAGGTTAAGAACAGAAACCGTGTTCCAGCAGCGCGGCGGCAGCAGGAGGCCCTTTTAGCTAAAGTGGTGCTTCAGGTTAAGAACAGTTTTAGGTTAAGAACTGACCTCTGGAACGAATTAACTACTTAACCCGAGGTACCACTGTACAACCAAATGAACAAACACATTTCATTGACGGCATGTTCCAGCTGGTATTTTTTAGTTTAAATATGGAGGAAGAGTTGACATAGTTAGGATTTCCACAGAAAATTCCCAGAGTGGTGGCATATCAGCTCTTCCAGTTAGAACTAATCACCAAGGAACCTTTTATTAAATGTTATATACACTATGTGTATGCAACCGCTCTGTGCTGGGACTGAATACTGTGGGAAATTGGGGTGATTTTAACCCACCCCGAGTCAGACTGCGGTGTCAACAAAGCACCCAAATCGCATCCTCCTACATAAGCACTTTATTTTTCTATGCTCTCCTTTTCTTTGTAAGTCTCTTTTTCTCTGCCTCTGTGTTTCCGTACTCCAGCTCCATGACCTTTGCAAGAAGTGAGCCTGTCTAAATGCTGCCGGAAGAACACAGAAGAGCACTGGATGATTTTGTTGTTAAAGCAGAGCAGTGGAACGTCTTTTAAAAAGTTTAAAGCTTCATTTTCTTTTTAGAAACAATGCCTGCTCTGTGCCAGGGCTGAATGATGAGGTAAACTGGGGTTGGTTTTGCCCCTCCCTGAGCTGAAAAAGGTGCGCCTTTTGCCAGATGAGCAATCATACTTCAGGTTAATAGTAATGCAGTCACCATCAACCTGCATTTGAAAGCAAATTAAAAGTAGGCACAGACCACAACATGAATTGATCATACATAAATAATGTTAACATTTTATATGTTTGCCTGGAGGAAAATAAATAAGTTTTCAGGAAATAAATGTAAATTGCTATGTTACCTTTGACTGTTTCGAAACCACAGATTGCTAATTTATGCTCTGTATTTATTACAAGGAGTGTAAAACAACTATCAATAAAAACAGATATCACTGCCCATTATGCTTTCTAGTCAAAGCAATATCCGCCAACAATTTGTATAATCAGGAGTGTGAATTTTCCATTCAGAGGATAAGAATGGGCTTGTAATTAAGGACCTGGATTTGAGCTAAATTCTGCTCTAGGTTTTATGAGGTTTCCTTTCAACACTGGAAATGCACCCAGCCTTTTTAAAGCTTCCTTTCTTACCCTTATCATTTCTATACTACACTGAATTCCTCTGATAGGTCTGTGATCCTAGGTGACCTTTTACTGCTGAGCCACATGTTCTCAGTAGAGAATGTTTGCCTCAAATTTAGGCTGTGGAGGAGGGAAAGAATAGGATACTAAATCACCCCTGGCAAATTTCAGGGCAGGAGCAGGCACTCAATTGTGGAAGGCTAAAAATTGCTACCACTAGTGAGTTGTACTGCCATGTTCCACTACCACCACCAGTTCCAAGAGCAGCAGTATGTGATGAATCAATGCTACGGCATCATCTGAAAGGGGATTATGGGGGCAGATAGTGACTATAATTTTGGTTGCCATTATGTTGAACTGTGCTGTATCATCATATAGCATCACTCCAGGGGTTGTTTGTTTTTTGGAGGCCAATGGTAGCTGCAGAAGTAGTTGCCCTCCTTGGGCAACTAAATTTCTGGCCTGTTGGCTGCAGTCCAGTGACACATGCTTGGGGGCATGCCCCATTGAAACCCAGTTTAGTGAACTGTAGAAGCATTTTTTCCCTTGTTGGTTTTAATGACTTTGATATGTTGGTTTCAGTTCTGTGCATATGCTTTTTTCATGAAGCACTCTGGGATTTTCTTATGAAGAATGGTATAGAAATTATAAAATCGTCGTCATCCCTGTGGGACTAACTTCAGAGTAACTATGCATTTCTCTCATGAATGTTCCTCATCCTTATTGTATCCAGTCTTCCCCAGTGCTTCTCGGGTCCCTTTCCTGTTGCTTGGCTTTTGGGGTTCTCTAATTTGCCTATTTATTTGTCTTCCATTCATTCAAAAGCCAGTTCCTTGAAATCCTTAAATATGGAGAAGGGGGTTGTAACAGCTGTGTTGGGGAGCACATGGCCACAAGAGTGAAAGAAGTATGTTCCATGAGTTGACTGTCAAGTTGGACTAGCGTCAAAGCAATCATTGGCTATTTTGTCAGTCACATAGCCTGTGGTGGGTGTGGCTTGTCTCTCTAAGGGATATGCCTGATCTGTAATCGAAATTCCCCTTCCCTCTCTGGGTCTAGTTGCTTTCATAGGGCAGTGGGAACTTTAGTCGTGTAGCTGCTTATGTGACAGCTGCTGAAGTTCTTCACCCCTTTGTTGCTTCCTGGTATTAGGGCAGGCCCATTGCAAGGTTTCCTCATATAGTGAATACCCTTCCTGAACCTGCAGGATGGTACGTAGCCAATTTCAATAAGATTGACTTGACCTCTTGGCCAGCACAGGCCCTACTGTTAGCCTGAGTAAGGCAACTGCCTCAGGCAGCTGGAAGGAGAATGTGGCGGCAACCTTTTGAAACATTCTTCCTAAGCTTCCCCAACTGATGCCTTTCATTGGAGGACAGAGTTGTGGGTGCCACATAACCTGCCTTGCACCTCACAGACTATCCTGCTGCATTCAGGTGTCGTGAAGGATGCTGTCCCCTTGCCAGTGTTGAAATAAGAGTCAAATGCCTGATGAATCAGCTTCCTATTTACAATAAGGGCGCCATTTTGTCTTTTACGTCAAGTAGCAAAATATTTTCAGCAGGCTGTGCTTGGGCCTACAAGAGAGATCATGAATGTGTTATTGCCATATGTCAAAAGAAATAAACCTGATCTTTATAAAAACACACTTTATAAGTACCAGATTAGTTGTCAGACAATCCTTATAAATGGGTTGTCTGAAATTCCCTAGAAGTAATTATGAGTTTAAGCTAATGGGAAATACAAGAGAGGCATTTTTCTTTTAAGGCACTTTAAAAGCATATGTTTCAAGTACATGAAAACGAGCTTCCCTACTAGGCAGAGAATACTTCCCGGTAGGTGTTGACAGATACTACCAAAACTCTGTCATCAAAAAGGAATGGAGGAAGGGGACCCCTACTGGCATTCATGAATTAAAGTGATAAATAACAAACTTTCAAAACTTGTTTGCCTATGTGCTTCTATGTCCCTTAGCAATCACGAAAGAAACACAAAATGCACACAAACAACTGTTTTCTCTGTTAGGCAGAGAAATCCCAACTGGGACGGGGAAACTGTGGACTCGCCACCACATTTGTAGCCATGCTAGCCAGGGCCAAAAGTGGGAGGCTGCTGCAGCAGAAGTGCCTATACTGAGCCTCTCACCTGCAAATGGACCAGCTTAGAATCCAGTTGATCCACAGTTAGCCCTGCTCCTCTCTTATCTCCATAATGCCCCATTTGAGGTGTGGGAGGGGGCTTGTGCCGACTCCTCCCAGTGTGAATACCGGCAGCAGCAACTTCCCAGTCACCCACAGC